TATGGACATGGAATCCCCTCACAATGTTTGAAACTGGTTGACTGGCTGGCTGGCTGGCTGGCTGGCTGGCTGGCTGGCTGGCTGGCTGGCTGGCTGGCTGGCTGGCTGGCTGGCTGGCTGGCTGGCTGGCTGGCTGGCTGGCTGGCTGGCTGGCTGGCTGGCTGGCTGGCTGGCTGGCTGGCTGGCTGGCTGGCTGGCTGGCTGGCTGGCTGGCTGGCTGGCAGTAGTGGCACCAGGTTGAATAGACTGGAGAGAAAAGAGTGAAATGGAGACGTTCTACTGAAGCCTTATGTTCCACTAGGAACCCAAGGGACAAATAATAATAAGAAATAAGATATCTCATCCAAAGCGGTTTTAGATTAAGAGGCGTACATCGAGAAGTATGATTCTCATCACATTTTCAACCAAGAAGCCTAGATGTAAAGTGCCACTGGACATCCTCGATCTTAAGTTTTCCGTTTATACGGATGCTTCCCAAAACAAACAAACAGTATTCTACATTGTTCCTTGTATTATCCCATCGTTGAGAGGACCAAACTGATCGGTCTCCATTGGCATATGCACTCATAAAACTACACCCGTCGCAGAAAAAGAGGCTATCGTGACTTGGTGGCCTAGTGTATAACACTTCTAATTCGCATTACCCAAATTTAGAAAAGGGAATGACGGCCTCAAATTTCGTTTACGTATTAAGATTGCATAATAGCTAAGAATGGAGTACAAGAGGCATCTTTCATGTTATTTTACACTTCTCAGCTGGATACACTTATATCAGTGAGAAAAGCATCGCTGGGAAATCTCAAACAGGAAAAAGTGTGCTTCCTGGATTCCACTGCCAGCCACTATTGATTATGGTTACCAAACTGAAACTGAAAGCAATATCTAGCCATTCGCCCATATCCCAATAAAGACAAGTCACTTCGGTCCAGTCAACGATCGACAACTACAAGCAACAACATAAAAACTATACCTGTCTTACAAGGAGTGGCTATTATGACCCACTGGCCTAGTACATGATGCTACGGTGTTTGAAGCTATCGGTTCCGGATTCGAGTCTTAATGTGGACAACACTGCTTACTTTGGAGCAGGTACATCCAGCTGATGAGTTCCTCATGAATTCCACTAACCGTCATTACTAACAAACTTGTCTGCCATGGTTTATGACAAGCCGAGAGAATTACCATCAAAATGCTAGAGGAAAAATGAGTACTAAGTTGTGGGATTGCCTTCCGTCTCCCTTTTTTAAATACTCATTACGCCGTTCTGATAAGATGTATCTGGTGCACTTCTGTTCAATCCTACCCTTAAATAGCTTTCACTGGAGTAATATTTAAAAATCGATTTTTCGAAAACAATAATTTGTTCATTGTCAGATCTTTTAACCCTTACTTGAGATAAAATAAGGACAACTTTTAATCCTTCTCGTCCTAAACAATTCTTTAGCTATAATTTATTTCAGGTTGATATTCATCATGGACTGATATCAATCGGAGAAAAATTCAAAACCTGGGAGAAGTGGACAGTTGTTTTGTCGAAGTATGGGACTCTTCTGCAGAGCGCACACGTAACCCAGCCAGGGACTGAACCAAGGAAATGTGGACCATTGGACTTCTCACCAGTGGTTCATTGGTAACGTGCTGGCCACGGAACACGAAGGCCCTGAGTTCGACCCCTAGTGGTATGGGGCTATGGGTGTGCAATGCTGAGGAGTCCCACACTAGAACGAAACAGCAGTCCAATGCTCCCAGGTTCATAACGTCCCTCCGACGGATGTCAGTTCATGATGAATACCAATCTGAAATCAATAAAATCTCCATAAATATCAACATCAAATTAATATTGATTTGTAATAAAAATAAAGTTATCTTTCAAAATCCATGTCCATCAATGACCTTGTTCAATAGTAAATTCATTCTGTCTGATTGTTTGAAATGAATTAACCGGCCAATTTAAAATAATAACTCGTTGTACTAATTAATAGTGTGTGTTTATCACCTTCTATTAAGTTACCAGAGTAGTTTAAAACAAAATTCATCATTGTGCACAGTAAATTTTTATTACTGTTTAAGTTCATTATTATGCAACATTATGTATAGCTGAAAAATTGAAAAATAATTTCTTCTACTAATCAGTAATGCACCATCATTTTAATTGACAAATTGTTATTGTTAATATTAGTAAGTAGACTAAATAAAATTCAGACCTTATTATTTGTATGTCAACACACGTGTATAAAATATACACCAAGATAAGACAATAATTAATCAATATCTGAGTTGAAATACGATGAAAAGAATTTGATAAATGTTATTTGGTATGCTTACGAGTTTGATTATCTTCAGTTGTTCATATAAATGATATGTGAACATTCATTTGATTTCAGCTAAGTTCTACCATACACCGATACCCACCCAGATAAATATTAAAGACTACAGAGCATTCGAAAGCTATTTCATATTATAATTTGGAGGTTTGTAGATATTTACTTATTGATTTCAAGCTAATACTCATCACCGTCTGACATGATTTGGAGAACTACTGAAAATCTGGAAACACTGGACAGATGTTTCGTCTTTTTATGAGGTATCTCAGCAGTGTACACCTCTGACTCCACAAAAGGCCGAACCCAAGATATTCAGGTTCCGTGGCCAGCATGTAATCATTGAGCTTCTGGGTAGAAATGCAATGGTTCACATTTTCCTACTTCCGTCAGCTCTCCAACTGATATCAGTATGTGATGAATATCACGGTGGAACCAATCAATAAATCCCCAAAAGCCTCCAAAATGAATTACTGTCCAGTACTCATTAGTGACTTGCTTTGAGATAGGATTTCCGGAAGTTCGAATGAGAAGTCGTGATAGGTAAGGAAAACCAAGCCGAACATGAGGACAGTTATAGTCAGAAGTAATAGAAGCAGGAAAAAGTGAAACACTGGATTCCGACCTAGTGGCTCAATGGCAACATGCTTGCCATGGAACCCTTGGTTAATTGTGGGTGCTTTCCCCTGAAGAGTCCTATACTTCACATTTGTTTGCAAATCCCTGGCCTTACTTATCCACAATTCTATAGATGAGTCAATCCTGTAATAAGCAGGTTTCAGAATTTTTATCATGCTACCCTGATGTTATGGCTAGGTATGCACTTCCAGTTGTAATTTGACTGAAGCTGTAGGTCGTTTTTCATTCACTTGGATGCAGACACAACTAGACTATGAGTCCCAAACAGGACGAAACGTGCACCATAAACTCCACTGTTAGTCACCAAAATGAATACAACATTCGACTAAGTAGTCTATGAGGATGTTGAAGAGCTATTTAATGAGCTTAGTTTCTAGTGTCTTTCTCGCTGATGTCAGTCAGTGATGAAATGTAGCCGGTATCATATTTCTCAAATTTATGTGTTTATCGAAAGCTATCAATCCACTTTTAGGTATCACTACTGATGAGGAAGATTCGAAACGAAGAAGTGAATTATATGGATTTGAACAGCTAAGAGAATTATCAATTCCTTCAACACTATGGATGGACTATATCAGTGAGTAACAATTAACGTGAATCCGAATTTCAGAGCTTATTTCGAATTATCTCTAAAGCAGCTTAGAATTTCTATTAGTTTCTCAAGAATCAAATTCTCTTTTCAAATCAATCATCAAAGCCGATGCAATTAGATATCTTCTCACTGATCTACTACTACTTCCCTTAAATCCATACCGCTCTAGATGTCATCAACTAATCAACAGTTTACTGGAGAACTAATCGCCTTCTCATTCTACTTCTAGGAAACGAAAGCTGAAACAAAAATACCTAAATGGTTGAAATATATGACAGTATAGAAATAACTGTTCCCATTAATGATGACTGATGTAAACAAAGCTATCTGTGAGCACAGAGAAGTGGGTGTTTAGTTAACGGTTGTTAGGTATTCACATAAAACCTAATCAATAACCCATCCTTTTTTGTTCGAAAATGAAGTAACATCTTTTTTTGTAAAAACAACCTCAGACCGTAGTATATATCATGAATAATAATTATAGAAAAGAAAACCAGAAAAATTAACTTTACAAAACCCTCATAAGATGATATATGTATATATGCATAGGAGTAGGAAACGTTTGAAAGGGAGGTGAGATTTGAAACGCGTATAAATCTCAACCGGTAACCAAGGTTTGTGTATGTGTGTGTGTGTGTTACTGTTGTTAACTTCCACCATTTGCTGTTTGTTGTCATTACGTAATATTGTGACTAAGTGAAAAATGATGAGAAATCAAGACTGAACAATTAAAATCAAATATTATAAATAGTAAGAATAATTAAGTAGTAATCGTAATGAATAATTACTTTCACGTATACAGAACACTTTATGTAATACAGATAAAGAGAAAGGAGGTTTTAAAGAGGAAAAAAAGCAACACAACATAATAGTTTGCCTATTCCTTCTGATTGAATGTTAGACAAAGAAAGATAAAGAGGAATTGAGCAATAGAAACAGGGAAAAGAAAAAAGTGCTTGAGAATATACTGCTTACTGGAAAACTAGAGATCATAAGGACAAAATAACGTCTTGATAAGTTATTTGTCCGGTTTTTGTTGTTGTTGTTTACTTCTGAATCAATTGTTGTGCAATGATGATGACATTTTTGGACGAAGTGAGGTTATATTCTTTCATTGGTAAGGAGATAGAAATGAATACAAACGATCGATTTCCTTCATGTACAATCTGAAAACGCTTGTATCTTTTGTTGATCGGTAATCTTCTTTGTGAATGTATGTGTGTATGTGTGTGTGTGAGAGAGAGAGAGAGCACAGTGAAAGAGAGAATGATGGGATAAATGAATAAAATGTCCACCATGAATCATTTAACCTGTTTTAAAACCACCAATGGCAAAAAAATGAAGTAAATTCAATTAAATGAGACTAGAAAGAGATCAATGACACAAGTTGACATACAAATTTACATTTACATACATTAATTTCAAAGACTATTGAAATCTATTTCAGATCAAGTAGCAGACAAGTTTACAGATGTATTAGTAGATATCATAGGGAATGAGATGTTCACATTATTGATACTACTATTAGTAGTGTTACATAAATTACTTATATGAACTGTAGTACTGAGTACGGTTGTATTGCAACTACTACTACTGCTACTACTCACAAGGGTTACATTAGTAGTAGGCTGGATGAAAGACTGATTCAATGACTGAGTTAGATTAGTAAATAGATTGGAATTATGCAAATCATTTGTAGTAGATATATCATGTCCAGTTGGTGGATAACTAAGTGAACTAGAATTTTGTAAATAAGGTGAATAGAACATTGAATTAAATTCACCTGGATTAACTTGATTGAATACATTATTCAACTGATATAATGGAGATAGACTGGTGTTAGATGATACTGAATAATGTATAGTGGATACATTCTGTTTCTCAGAAGGACATTGTTGATTACGATCAGTAATCAAATGAAAATCTGTTCCAGTTATATATGAATTTGTCAATTCATTTGTATTAAGATTGCACAGTCTATTATATTGTGAAGGAAATGGTGTAGAATTGTTTAAATTACGACTATCTGAACATCTAGTAAAGGTATTACAAATAGCCATAGATACTGGTAAACAAGACATACTAGACTCATTTGATTCTTGAACATTATTATTACAGTGTACCGTAGAATTGTGTAATGAAGGAAATATATTTTTTGAAAATGATAATCCATGATTTAAGCTGTTTGTAAATGATTCATTACTTTGATCTAAATCATCTATCATTGAAATACTAGGAGTATTAACATATAAAGGATAAAATCCAACTGATGATGTTGAATATTTCTGACTACTTGGAATAGAAAGAGGAGAAGGCCAACATGAAGTAGATCTTGATTCAGATAATGTTGATGTTAAATTTGGGAAGATAGAACATTGAGAAGTTGATGAAGAGTCAATATTGAATGTACATGGGTGATTAACTTCTACTTGATTCATGTAATAATCAGATTCATTTACGGAGAATAAATTCAGGTTATAATTCATATTATTCATAGAGTTCATTGAAGACGCTTCTGTTGTTCTTCTATTTGTTGTTGAGGTATTTATACTGGGATTTGTTGTAGTCGTTGTTAAGTCAATAGTAGACTCATTGTTATCATATACAAATGCTGTGTTTAATTGGCTAATAAATTGAAATTATTTTCATTGGAATTCAATGCTTTTTGAAAATAATCCCCCGTAGTATATGGATTTGGTAAATAATACGAATTTGGATATAACATAGAACGTTGAAGTCTAGATAAAGATGATTGATTATCAGTAATAAAATCATCTTTGTTCAACAAATTATGTTCACTTAATGGTAAAGATGATATATCACTTTCACTAAGACTTCCTCTTCTATGGATAACTTCATCTGATATGGAGTGATTTATATTTGAGCACTGTTCTTGAAGATGATGAAGAGAAAGATCAGGTTTCTGATGAGATCGACGACATTGTGTTGAATTATTTAACTTGGAACTAGCTACTGAATGAAATGGACTAGTCGACATAGAACAGATTGCATGGTAATCTCTTTGTATATTCCACTTAGGTGATGGTGGTAAATGTGTGAAATAGTTTACTGGTTTAATAGGTGTTCTTGATGTTGGTACTAATGTAGATGAGAAGTTTATATCATAATTTTTATTATTATTATTATTATTATTATTATTGTGATTACTATCATCTACTGACCAATCTGGATGACATTCGGCATATTTGTTTTGGTCTGAGTTGGTCAACTGACTTCTTGTTGATTCTTTCAAAGGATCCAACAAAAGATCTCTATCCATGTTCATCATATTCACATTAACAGGATTGAAACTGACCTCAGAATTAATCAGATTATTCTCGATTGAAGAATGATAAATTGGATGAAATAATTCTTGGGATAATTTATCGAATCGCATACGACTACAAATTTTATCACTGTTATTACTACCACTATTTGTATATTCATTAATCGACTCCATAAAGTATGATGGTGTATTTGAATACACATCCGGACTTAGACTATTCAAAAATTCATGTTCCCCTTTAAGTTTTTCATTCTTTATCGAATCTTCTTCATATTCATCAATAGTAGTTGTATCTGAGTTTTTATCAATTTTCTTCATAATTGCAATTTGTTTAAGTTGTCCCCTAATACTAATATCATTATTATTCATAGTATTGTTGTTAGACTGCTGAACATGACTATCAAAGCTATTCAATATCCGATTATATTGTTGTTGTTGATGATGATGATGATGTTGAAGATTTTGATGAAGACGATGATGCCGTTCAAATGGATTACTAGTTCCAAATTCTTCAGTATCATCTCTTTCCTCTTCTTCTTCATCTTCTTCTTCCTCCTCTTCCTCCTCTCCATCATCATCAACTTGATCATCTTCATCGTCATCTTCACCATCGTCCAGCATACATTCAACACCATCTTTACCAGATAATTCATTGCCAGACTCTGAAAGGCTACCAGCTAATGCATTATTTCCAGTTGAATGATGATTACGTGATTGTAATTTCTTCTTTTTCATTCGTCTATTTTGAAACCAGACTTTCACCTATAATGAAAAAATTGATAAAGAATTTCTTTAAAAAGTTTCCTGGCAAATCATGGAGAATTTGCATACATGCATTTGTCACAATGCAGAAATATCAGTGGAATAGTCCTAAATAGAAGCCAGTGATAATTGACTTGATTGTGATTAGTAATGGGATCCAGGACAAGCGTTTCAGCCTAGTGGGTAACGTTTTTGCTGTTTGAACCGATGAGTATAAGGTTTAAGTCTCATCGGGAATGAAATCACTCACTCGGGTGCAGGCACATCCAGCTGATGAGTCCGAAATGGGTCGAAACTTGCGCTCTGGATCCCGCTGCTAGCCACTAAGCAGATCTCTATACCAGTCGGTTTTCAATGAAAGACTATGAAATATGTAGTCTGACTTTCTGTCTCTTCTAATTACTCCTATCTGTATGAATCTTTGTTATTTTCAGTTATCAACTGGCGATACCATAAACAATGACATAAGTGAATATATCTGGGTTCCAGTTTAACAAAACAAGAGTAATTTGTATTCCTTTGGCTAGAAAATATGTAGCATGCTGGTAGATTTATACAACGATTGCCTAGATAATTATCTCATTTCTTCACACCACCCCTCTCCCCGACCCCTACCTTTAATTTCATTGATAACTATGTAAAAATGACAATAAATAAATTTCAGTAAATGTGTGGGTCTAAATGGTTTTTATCGCTCAAATAGCTGAAAACCATAAAATGATTAAAAAAGACTTTGAAATTGCATAGTTAAATTTCCCAACCATAGAATCTCGTATTGATATGAAGAAAGAAATAAACGGTGAGGTTGTTCGTTTGACAAAATGAACCCCATTCACTCTTAGTAGTTATATTACAGTTAAAAATCTGTTTCTTATGGACGAACAAAAATATGGGATGTATTACGTAATGTAATGCTATTTCATGCGGTAAGTTTAAGGCGAGTGAAAACAATCACTAATTACCACTGTCTGTCTGAATTTATATATTTACAAGAATTTGACCTCTGAACTAAATCAATGCATGCTCACTGGTAACGTACTGGCCGCGAAACCTAGATGTCCTGGGTTCGATCCCTCAAGGGATCATGAATGCATACGGCTGAGGAGTCCGGTACTATGATGAAGTAGTTGTCTAGTGCTCGCAGATTTCCAATGTTCTCCCAACTGGGTAACGGGTCTGAACCTCGCTTTATCTACTGAATCCACATAGTATCATTAGTCCCAAACAAAATCGGTTTAGCTCATTGCCTACTGCACAAATATGCACAATATTGTTGAAAGTATTTCAATTTCCATTGGAGATCTAAGGGATGTATGTCTGGTGCTATTTTTTAATTTTATTTGTAGAAACCTTTCTTAGTAACAACTGGTTTTAAAAAAATTGTATAACTAGACAAACACATTTGCGAACAATGTCACTGAACAGTGATTAGTATTGTACCGTTCTCGTGTAATGTAAAAACGTGAAACGATTGTTCATCTCAATAATATTCAAGCCCTATTCCTCTCTGGGATGTAAGAGCTGAGGAGTCCCATACTTGGAGAAAACAGCTGTTCAGTACACCAAGGTTTCAATAGTTCTTCGACTATCAGTCCGTGATGAACATAACCTAGAGATAAGCACCAACTGATTCGAAGAGAGTTTTCAACACAAATTTAACCAGGAGTTTGACAGCTAACTGGTTCACTGTAATCCGGAACCAGTCATTACTATGCACTGACGATTTCTAACAGATTCTGCTAATATCTCACTAAATGATATGATCGTCAGTTTCCAGTGGTTCTCCGGTTGATATGAAATAGAAAAAATACTGTTGTTAGATTTACCTTAGTTTACCTGAAAGATCAGATAAAAGCTGCTGGGCATACTCAGTAATCAGTTGGTGTTAAAAAGACACTCTAGACGAAATAGATGGTTTGAATATTAATGATGGATAATGGCTGTTAATGCAATCAAGGATGCATATTTCGTCCTGTATATGACCCGTCAGTAGGATGTACCTGCCTCTCAGTCAATGGTGGCGTTTCCATCAGGATTTCGACCCAGGGGCAATTGCTCCAAATGCCACAGTGTTATCTACTAGGCCATCAAGTCACGATAGCAAAAGATTCATTAGATTCATTCATTCTCGTAAATTATTTGGTCAGCTGTGTAAAGTAATATTTATTATGATTTGGGCTATCTGGGATGGCCGTGGTTGGATAGACTAGTAGTGACGCTAAGTGTTGAGTGAAGGTGAAATGGACATTTGGATCGCGGCCGGACTCGAATCAGCGACCACTGGGTTTTTGATCTGTAGCTCAGTTAGTAGAGCATCAGGCCGGTGGTCGCTGGTTCGAATCCGATCACGGTCCAAATTCTTATTTCATCTTCAGTCATCACCCAGCATAAATAATGTTAATTAGTTTTATATCGGTGGCTCATCAACTAGATGCACTTACCTAACGGTACTGCCATTTTCACCCAGACTTGAGTCAAGTATTCATCGCTTCATCAAATTACTATTTCTGTAATGCTAGTCAGACGAAAAATTCTTTCAGGAGGTTTTGGGGAATTTATTATTACGAAGTTGGCATTCGCCATGGACTGATGTTAATTGGAGAAACACTGAAAGTCTGTGAGGACTGGACAGCTGTTGCGTCCTAGCATGACACCTCAGTAGTTTGCACCCATGATCCCACTATGGATTGAACCCAAATGTTCAATGGTTTTCCAGCTGATGTTAGTCCGTGGCGAATACCAACTTGCAGATGAAAAATAATCACCACAGATTGTCAATGTGTTGCGTAATCCTTTACTATCTAAGGCACTGAACACTGGATTCGTTCATCAGTGAAAACATTAACAAAAGGACATGGGGACATCCAGTTGACATGCAGAAAACAATAAAAATGTATGTTTATTGTTACTTCTTATTAAATACAATTAAGTATGGAGGTTTGTGGGGACTGACTGACTGATTGAAGTACAATTAAAAAAGTGTTCGAATGCAGTATTCAGGCCTTCATGAAAGTAGTCTAAATGCCACTATTCAGTGTATGAAATCAACAACAATAGAGTTTAAGCTGAGACAAGAATTTCTACATATTTCCTGTCATAATGTGTCATGCATTTGATATGCAAGTTTTTGACTACCATTTCATGTTGGTACATACTTCTAAGTACTAGCTTCCAAATTATTGGCATGACTGGTTAGCACCCTACTGCCACCCAGGCTTCCATTAGAACTATACCCTTAGATGGATATAGTTAAATAAGTTTGAAGCCAGTGATGCTAAGTGGCTGTCAGTGGAAGCCAGGTGTACTTCATCTTATTTTGGCCTCCTCAGTTGAATTCATCTGCCTCTCAATGAGTGGTTTTGTTCTAACTGATACTCGAAACTAACACTCATTGCTTCAAACACCGTACGGGTATTCTTTATGGTCATTCCTTGAAAGGTATATTTAGATGTTGTGACTTATTGCTCCTGGTCAGTGACTGGATCGAAGTGATCTGCCACTATTGGGTGTCATGAATCAGTTGCTTAGTGGATCATACCCCGGTGTTTGAAGCCCTGGGTGTTAGGTTCGAGTTCTGACTGAAACAACACCACCCACTGGGGGGCATGTACATCTAGCTGACTAGTCATGTGTTGCTGGCTCCACTGCTGGCCACTATCCATCATAAGTAACAAACTTAAATTACCAGCAATATTATGACATCTGCAAAAGCGAAAATATGCCAGTAGTGGCCAATCACTTCAGACCAATCAGCAACGAGGAACGAAAAGTTAGGCAAATCTAATCAGTGATTCATGTATGTAACTACCTCTAATGCTCACAAACAAAGAGAAAAATCGTAGTTTATCAGTTGGAAATATGAACTATTGGATTCCAACCCACTGGCTCAATGTTAAAGTGCTGGTCACGGAACCTGAAGGTCGCGGATTCAGTCCCTGGTGGGATGGGGTCGTGGGTACGCATTGCCGAAGAGTCCAATACTAGGACGAAACAGCTGTCCAGTGTTCCCAGGTTCCCAATATTCCTCCAGCTGACGTCAGTCTGTAGTGAATATAAATTTGAAAAGTCTCTAAATCAAAACAAACAATAAGTTTAAAAGAGGAAATCTTTCGCGTCAGTTCTCATGATGATTCAGCGCCTACATTAACGAGAGAGCACCAGCCAGAAACCACTGAAAACCAGAAGAAAATTTACACTTGTCTACTCCCAGTTTGGAACTTCTTAGCACTTGATATCTGTAGTCTCGTGCCGAATAAAACTTAGAATTATCAGGTCCTACCACTACTATATAAACTACAGACATTCATCAACAACTGCTTACGCCTACTCGGTACTGAAGATCAGATGGATTGCCAGGAAGAATAAGCAACAAGGAGCTCTGGGAACGAACCAACCAAGAACCCATCGCCCATCAAATATGTAGAAGGAAGCGGAGATGGATTGTGCATACACTGAGAAGGCCGACTGGGGACATCACGCGTCAGGCCAGTCCCTCGAGTGGAACCCAGATGGGAGGCAACGAGTTGGACATCCGTGGCGAGAGTGACATGGAGGAGATAGTGCGAAGAGGAAATGAGAGCTTCTGTGCTGTCGTGGAGCTAGGTTCAAAAGATTTCAGAGAACAGAGCTCATTGGAGACGTGCTACTGAAGCCCTATATTCCATTAGGAACCCAAGGGACAGATAAAAAAATAAATAATATACCACTACTATATATATATGCGAAGCAACTCCTCGATGTTGTCTGGTTGCCAATGATCCACTGGTTGGTGTCTCAACACAATGGAAACTGATGTGAAAGCTTTCTTCTTCATTCAAGTTGTCAATAAACAGTAGTGAAAATGTGCACACCCAGATGATAATAATAACTGTTTGGGCTTCTCAGAGTCCCAGAGTTTCAGGTTTGACATTTCACCAGAGTGACTGGCTCCACCTTCATACAACTTGATGAGATGAAAGATTTGTGTAAAACAAATTTGCCGTTTGCATAGAATATTGCGT